CTGTGGTTGAAGATCAACAAATTGTCGTGCAAGAAAATATCGGCGAGGTATATTCGATTATCTATCATCTCTTATAGATGCATGCGTGACGATATTTGTTGTTAATCGTTGTGTTTCTACTCATGTAGCCGGTCTCTGGATCTACATCAACCACCGACAAAAAGTAGGAAAGTCCGAGGGCCAAAAAAGCCATTAGAGGGCCGTTTCATAATATCGAATTCGACAATCGACACCGCAAGCAAACCATTGGGACCACATGCTCGGACATATGTCAATCAATGTGGGTTCATTGTAAGGATAGGATCCCGATTAGTGCTCGTGAATGGAAGCGTAAGATATACGCTCCTAATGTTAGTTTTGTATCCGATCGTGATAAGAACCTAGCTTGGAGAGATATCACTCAAGATTTCACATTACAAGCGAGATGATGCTTTGAAGGAGCTAGTGAGGGATTGGACAATGAAGAAGATGGCAACATTGTTCCAGAGTTGGAAGAAGACATTGTATAAAAAGTTTATCTTGAAGAATGCTACGCCAATTTCAATGCTAAGGCGTTTGTCAAGTTGAGTCCCATTGGGATGCCTTCGTAGAATACAAGACATCTCAAGACAAGTGAGGAACGTGTGATGAGGAATCGGCGGAATGCGTCCATGTAAGCAATACCATCATCGCATGGGATCGGTGGTTATAGGAGTGCTATTCCCAAGTGGCGAACCTAGAAGCGAGATTACGCCAAGGGAATCATACACAAAACAATAGAAAAGAACCGGCCTCAACGCTACGAAGAATTGGTTCTACGCTCATGGGGAAGCCTAGACCCGGACAATCGGCAAGCTAATTTTCGCCAAAAAAATTGAGAGAGCAACACGAGACTAGCTCGTGCTAGGGAAGAAGTTTATAGTGGTGTTTTCAAGCCCAACAGAGAGAGGATGAATTGACATATGCCCTAGAGAATCCCGAACACGGTGGTCGAACAAGAGGCTATGGGGCGGTTCCGTGGCTACACGCATTCCCAAAGCAGACAAGGATACATACTGAAAGCCGCCAGAGAAAGAAGGATGAGGAGGCGAGCAATTAATTGCATTTGGAGCAATTTGTTGATGAGTCACGACAAGCATTGCTTGAATCACGTGAACGAGAAAAATCTCTTGAGGCAAGAATGCGGGAGGAGATCAAGAGGCAAGTGCAACTAGCAATGAGTCAAATGCAATCGCAATCAACGCCGGAGTCACCATTAGCCCCGTTGGTCGATGAAAAGCGCTTGTGCTTCTACGGAGCTGCCAGCTATTCAAGACGACGCTGGTTGCGCTTCCCTCGCTGATGACATTACCGAGACTCTAACAAAATGTGAGCTGCACATTCCGGATGGTAATGCATCAATCATGGTGGTCGCGAGGTTGTATCTCCAATAGACCGAACGAAGACACCAAGAATCCATGGATCGCTTATTCAACCCGGATATGCTAGCGTCTCGGTCGATAGAGTGCTCAAAGGTTACAGAAGAATGTTCCTCTTGACATTGAAGGTGGTGATGGGGAGAAGACACTAGGAGAAACAGAGAAGACATTTATTCAATGGCGCAAACGCTTCATCATCATTCTGGGCGCCACCGCTTCCCCTACCTCACCCTAGGTACGAATGAAAGTGAATGAAATATTATTTTCCATTAATTTTCTATTGGCTTCAAAAATAATTGACACACAAATTGTTTTTATAGCAGGTCTCTCCCCACCTAGCCTAATCATTCATTCCCCATCTCATCACAAAGGTCATGGTCATGGGGCGAGAGCGACTTCATCCCCACTGCGATCGCTAACTCCTACACCGGCCCCATCGCCTCCACAACGATCTCCAACTCCTACACCGCCCCATCGCCTCCACAACGATCTCCAACTCCTACACCGCCCCACCGCCTCCACAACGATCTCCAACGTCTCCACGGTCTCCACCAACACCGCCTCATCGCCTCCACGCCGATCTCCAACACCGCCCCCCCCCCTCCACAAATGACGCACTATAAAGACGTCTAAGGTCCCATGACAAAGAAGACCCCAAGAAAAAGAGTTATTTCTCAAGAAATACTTCCTAAAAAGACCCGATGAGCAAATAGCAAATTGAAGAAGACAAAAAAGTAAAAGATTTTTTATAGATATCAAAAACAAGAGTCAAGCAAAGCTTAAGGAGAAGCCGTACTTTTACATACCACGAGATGTGCTGAGGCAGAAGGTCGATGCTCACAAGAAAAAGATGATTGAACTTCGTAAGCCTTCGCCACTATCAGACTATGACCGCTCCCTCGTGAAGTCACATGATGCGATAAGAAAAGGAAAAGAGCATCGGGGAAGGATGTCCCACACTTTCGGACAACGTAAAAACCAATGCAAAATCTTGTTGTTGCTAATGAATATGGTTCCAACATAGAAGTCTATCGACCGCACAACTCGGAAAAGTGTCGGTTCAAGCCCTTAATGCTTTTTTTAAAGATACTTGGGTTTAACCTTGGATCAATTGACGGGCAAAGCTCCAATCCGAACACGGAAGTTGATACCGAAGACTTATAAATATGGCAAAAGTCTGCATAACAACCTCCTCTGACTCTGAATGAATTGGAGTGCGCAAATGTACTTGCTCAACAAGTGGTACATGCAAAGCGTGTGGCGAGGGGTGACGGTGGATCTTTGTCGATTTAGAGACCATCATTACTTCCGTGGCGATGACATCTTACATATTAGTTTCAAGAATTGCATCAACTATTCCACTTGGACGCCTGGACAAATCAATCATGAGCTCCTTTTGTTTGTAAGTGATTCTTACTTTTATTTAATAAACTCACTTCCATGCGACGTGTATATAATTATCCTCACATGTAACTTATATTTATATATAGATTCCGGATGTCGAGCTCCAAAGAATACAAGACACCGGTGTTGGCTTCATGATCCTTATATCGTATTCAAAACCGATATTATTGTCAAGGACCACCGGGTATCTCGAAGCACGAGAGAATATCATGAAGTTCTTCGTGAAGCAAAGACGACAAGACAACAATACTTTTCCCTGCACAACTTTGAGTAAGTGTTAATAATAATGTAGTCTACACATTTTATGTAATATCAATACAACTTATATGCATGTACGTGTGTGTATAAACCAATGCGCTTTCATCGGATACTCATTGTCATTGAGTTAAACTCAAGTCGGTTACTAATCTTTGACTCGTTGAGAAAAGAACGGCACTATACCAAGATATGATAGATATTATCCAGGGTAATTTCGATCTCTCGCGCAAGACAACTATTATTGAATAGACTTTGCCATAATTTATTAACGATAGTACATTATTGGTCGCATACGGGGTTTGGAAAGAGTTTATTCGACAACATCGCAAGGATTGCAAGGCACCACTTAATGTAGTTGAAATACCAAAGAAGTTGTACTATATACACTTCCCCACGTGTTTAATTACTATATCGTACTTCAATTTACGTGTGAGATGATGAGAATAATCTTCTTCTCGCATGATGTGGTGTTTATGCGGCAGAACCGGTAATAACTTGTGTGGATACTACGTTTGTGAATTTATCATCAAGCACATAAGAAGAACTCCTGAAGATGTCCTCGAGTAATGATATATCAATATTTATTTATTTTTAAAAGAATATATATACATATATGTGTATTAATAATTTTCCTTTTATTTCAAATGCAAGACTGAATGGTTGAAACGAAGGGTCATGCAAAAGACCATCCGAAAGCGCTTCAAGAGTCAATAGCGGGATATCTTCTAGAAAAAGTGCTAAATCCCAACAAGCGAGTTCTACTTTGATCTTAAGGAATAAATGATGTAAATTAAATGTTTATTGATATCGTTATTTTCGAGAGAACAAGATTATGAAAGTGTTGTATATACATATATATATATATATATATATATATATAGTTTCATACTTTATTCAATATAATAATGCTCAAGATGAGAATTAGATGTAATTATATGCATGCGTGTATTTATATTAGCAGCGTAGAATACGTACATAAAAACATATTATATATTAAACAAATACGTAAATCGAACTGAAAACAAATTAAACAACCGGGACCGAAAACAAATTAAACAAAAAAAAGAAAAAGAAAAGGAACCGTTAGTCCCAGGTTAGGGTTACCAACCGGGACTAAAGGGTGAACTATTAGTCCCGGTTGGTAACCCCAACCGGGACTAAAGGGTGCGCCAGTTACGCTCAAGTTGGAGGGCCTTTAGTCCCGGTTGGTGTTACCAACCGGGACTAAAGGTCCCTCTTTAATCCCGGCTCGATGACCCGGGACTGAAGGTTCCACCTTTAGTCCCGGGATCGTTGTCCCGGCGCGGTAACCGGGACTAAAGGCTGTTATCGCCCGGGACAACAGGTCCATTCTGTAGTAGTGCGTATCACGACTTTGCATGCGCCAAAATCCACGACCAACCAAAACCCTATTCGCTTGACTGAAAAAGTGCAACTTATAAGCCAAACAAACTAAGGTGAAGCTGTAGGGAAATTTGCATCGGTCGGGAGACTATCGGCGTGCTCAAGGCAGCGGTCAGGGCCCGGCGGCCACGTTTCCATGGCCTCATCGGCGGCCGCTCCGACGTGGCAGTCCAGGCCGCCCCACCTTGCCGGGCGGTTGTCCACCACCGGACGGGACACCGGGTCCCACCGCTGCCGCGCCGTGGAGCGACAGCCCCGACGTCACCCCGTGTCCTTCTCCCCGTCCCACACTCCCACTGCGCCATCGCCACGCCTCCCGCCCCTGGGCTCGCCGACCTGCGCGACCAGCGAGCTCGCCTCCCACGCTATAAATACCCCGCCATGCCCGAGCCATTCCGACCCGGGCAACACAGCAAGCAGCAGAAAACGTCTCCTGGCCTTCCAGCCGTCCCTCCTCCAGAGTCCCAAACCACCCTCAGGCAGGTTCCACAGCTGCTAGCTAGCGTTCGCAAGCAGTAGTAGTGTTCCATCGAGGCAATGGCGGTGATGGCCGAAGTAGTGTCGACCACCGGCGCGCCGCTCGGGAGCCCGGCCTCGCTGCCACCGCCGGCGGCCGCGGTGAAGGACGCCGACGCTGAGAAGCTCCAGTTCATCGAGGAGATGACCTCCGACGTGGACGCCGTGCAGGAGCGCGTGCTGGGGGAGATCCTCGCCCGCAACGCCGACACCGAGTACCTCGCCAAGTACGGCCTCATCGGCGCTTCGGACCGCGCGACCTTCCGCGCCAAGGTGCCGATGGCGACGTACGAGGACCTGCAGCCGTACATCCGGCGCATCGCCGACGGCGACCGCTCGCCCATCCTGTCGGGGCACCCGGTCTCCGAGTTCCTCACCAGCTCCGGCACGTCCGCCGGCGAGCGCAAGCTCATGCCCACCATCGAGGACGAGCTCAACCGCCGCCAGTTGCTTTACAGCCTCCAGATGCCCGTCATGAACCTGTAAGCTTTCTGCTGCTGCTCCAGTACCAGTAATTATTGACAGCACACACGTGCGCAAGTACAGTTATTGATGGCCTTGAATGACTGTGTGCAGGTATGTGCCTGGGATGGACAAGGGGAAGGCTCTCCATTTCCTCTTCGTCAAGTCGGAGACGAAGACGCCAGGCGGCCTTGCGGCGAGGCCCGTCCTGACGAGCTACTACAAGAGCAACCACTTCAAGAACCGGCCGTTCGACGCCTACAACAACTACACGAGCCCCACGGCGGCCATCCTCTGCGCGGACGCGTTCCAGAGCATGTACGCGCAGATGGTGTGCGGTCTGTGCCAGCGCCAGGACGTGCTTCGCGTCGGCGCCGTGTTCGCGTCGGGCCTCCTTCGCGCCATTCGCTTCCTCCAGCTCAACTGGGAGCAGCTCGCGGACGACATCGAGGGCGGCTCGCTCTCCCCGCGCGTCACCGACCCGTCGGTGCGCGAGGCGGTCGCCGGCATCCTCCGCCCTGACCCCGAGCTCGCCGAGCTGGTCCGCTCCGAGTGCTCCAAGGGCGACTGGGCGGGCATCATCCCCCGCATTTGGCCCAACACCAAGTACCTGGACGTCATCGTCACCGGCGCCATGGCGCAGTACATCCCGACCCTCAAGTACTACAGCGGCGGCCTCCCGATGGCGTGCACCATGTACGCGTCGTCCGAGTGCTACTTCGGGCTGAACCTCCGCCCCATGTGCGACCCTTCGGAGGTGTCCTACACCCTGATGCCCAACATGTGCTACTTCGAGTTCCTGCCCATGGACGCCGCGGCGTCTGGCGGCGGCGACGCGAGCCAGCTGGTGGACCTCGCCCGCGTGGAGGTCGGGCGCGAGTACGAGCTGGTGATCACCACGTACGCCGGGCTGAACCGGTATCGCGTCGGCGACGTGCTCCAGGTCACGGGCTTCCACAACACGGCGCCGCAGTTCCGGTTCGTGCGCCGCAAGAACGTGCTGCTGTCCATCGAGGTCCGACAAGACGGACGAGGCCGAGCTGCAGCGCGCCGTGGAGCGCGCGTCCGTGCTGCTCCGCCCGCACGGCGCCGCCGTGGTGGAGTACACCAGCCAGGCCTACACCAAGAGCATCCCCGGCCACTACGTCATCTACTGGGAGCTTCTGACCAGGGCCCGCGGCCGGCGCCGCGGTGGACAGGGAGACGCTGGACAGGTGCTGCCTCGAGATGGAGGAGGCGCTGAACACGGTGTACAGGCAGAGCCGCGTGGCGGACGGCTCCATCGGCCCGCTGGAGATCCGGGTGGTCCGGCCGGGCACCTTCGAGGAGCTCATGGACTACGCCATCTCCCGCGGCGCGTCGATCAACCAGTACAAGGTGCCCCGGTGCGTGACGTTCCCGCCCATCATCGAGCTCCTGGACTCCCGCGTCGTGTCCACCCACTTCAGCCCCGCGCTGCCGCACTGGACCCCCGGCCAGCGCTCCCACTCCGACTAGACAGGCCGGCCGGCGAGCGGCGAGGCGTGTCCGGGTCCGGCGCGCTTAATTAATTATTAGACTGGGAAATCATCTGCTTCGTATCGTAGACGTAGAATGCCCGTGAACTTAAAATATTTGTTAATTTTGGAATTTTGAGTAATGTCAGTTATTAGCGGCGTGAGGGTAACTTGATGTGATGAGAGTTGGAATCACTCGAAAGCTGAGCTGATCAGCTGAAGCAACAGTCGACGCATATGTAAGACTAGAGGTGTTTCAGGTAGTAACGGCACTATTGTCCGTATCACTTAGTAGTACGGAGCACGCGGCTAATTTAACGTTCATCCAAATCTGTACGAGCTGTGCGTCTGTGCCTGCAGAAGATCTCGCTGCAATATCCTGATTACTAAAACCGGCTACTCTACGAGCTTGTGAAAGCATCGGAACTTTGCCGACTCAAAGGCGATAGTATCTTCCCAGTTCCCACGGTTCTTTAGCCTTCAGACATTTCCATTTCAGGCGATAGAATTCAGTTAACGCCTTCAGCCATGTTTTCCACAGTTTAACTTTAGATAATGGCGGCTAATCATAAATGTAGCTTGAAAATTGAAAGCCACACTTTTTTCATGCTTATAAAGAAATCTCGTCATACTCCATAATAATATGGAGTGTACAAAAATCTTATCTGAATTTAATTTTCAACCAAACACTTACCACCTTAATGAATCCTGACTAAAATAAAGTGGAGTGGAGTGTACGTAGATATGAACCAAACACCATTAGAACTTGGCACATTATTGGCTTCACCATACAAACGCAGTGCTTGTCGACTGCCATAGCTCAAAAGCCGTGTCGCTCGCAATCGGCGCGATTGATTGCAGTCTTTTAGGTAGGCGATGGTGTTACGCCACGCGAGTGTCTGGCAGTATTATGAGCGTGTGGCCTCTTGTGCGACGTTGATGGATGATTAATGAACTAATCAGTGGCAACCTTTTCAAGCACAGTGTGCTGCTGAATCATGGGCGGACCGGCGCACGATCCTGCACGCCGCTCGGTCGTCTGGTCATCGCCGCCGCGGACCAGCCGGACGGACCAACATTGCTTTTCCTGGATGCACTGTACCTCTGCATTTCTTCATGCCCACTTTCCATCCGTCCACAAAGTCAAAAGCGAGATCATTTGCTTGCCCTCCTACGAAGGTATTTAACGGCCGGGTTGCGAGTTTTGCATCGCGAAAAGTCTCTCCGAAGACGTCTCCGAACCGTACTATTGGCTCACAGTAACCCGGATCACGTGAATGCGATCGGGGCCTACGTGTCCGATCCTGCTCTTTGCAATCGCGTCGCAGTGAGCCCGTGGCGGGACGTGCTTGTCAATTTCACTCCGTTGACGATCGATAGCAAGAGAAACCATGGACGGCGGATATCTGTCGTGTCGTGCCCAGTGCCGGACACGCCCTCGGCTAGCGTTTGGACTCTGCGTGCGTTGCCTGTCAACCTGTCAGCGATCCACATCGTCGTCACTGTTGCCGGATCCCCCGAGACTTTGACCGCGCGCGCACTAGCCGACGCGTCGGGCGATGCGGTGCCGTGCCGGTGGCGGTGATGAAGATCCGCTCGTCGCCTTGTGCGCTTCCTCTTCGTACTCCGCAGCACAGTAAAAGGACCTCGCCTCGCCTGCCTGCAATGCACAGGCTGCAGTAGTGCGAAGCATTCATCCCCCCACACCACAAGTTGCCAAAAGGGCACCACGGTTGCTAGCCCCGGCCGGGCCACAAGGCACAAGCCACAGGGTGGGGGCGGGTGAGGTCAACCCCGCGAAATGCAGTGCGGATCAAGCGCGAATCGCGGGTCTTGGCCGCGTCGGACGGCGAGTGGCCAGCGTCCGCGATAGCGGCAGCCCGCGGCCGGTCAACGTGTGGGAAGCGCTCGAGCCTGCCTTTCGACCCGTCCGGCGAGGCGGGGGGCGGGCCAGGCGGCTGGGAACTCGGCGGCCGTCGTAATCGCCGCCTGCCCGCCCGCCCGTCCGCGCGGCCGAGACACAGATGCGGGTCTCCCTGCCGGAGGCCCGGGCGCCACTTTCCTGCACCCGCACCCCACCGCGCCGTGGCGTACTTTTTTTTGTAGACGCGTGCAGCGGCTGCCAAGTCTATTTGGCACTGGCACTGTGCTGTGCTGGAGTAGTGTACGGGAGATCTTGAGACTCGTGATCGATATTGTATGACCGCGACGGCCGTGCTGACTGCCGTGTGCCCGCCTTTTGACCGTTGGCCAGTAGGAGTACAGTGGTGTGCTTGTCGTCTTGCCAAGCGATATCCGAGCGACCGAGCTGCGTGTGTCGCGCGGGCTACTACGTACGGCGCTGCGGCCATGAAACGTGCAGAAATGTCGGGGTCGGAGAAACAGACAACTGGTGCGGCACTCGTTCGGATCATCCGGGCAATTATTGGCTCCATCCATGGCCTAGGATAGGAAATGAACAGTCAAACGTGGGGGACGTGGATGTTCGCCGTTGTCAGGTTGCCATCCGGATAAGCCTGTGAACGCAACTGTGTCAGTTCCTGTTGTTGACTTCGTTTGCATGCACGTACCACTACCAGTGACGTGCAAGCCATTACTGTAGGCCTATTTGTCTCCTGGAAACGGGTCAAAATTTAAGACTGCTTTGCTAACGAACGACCAATCAACAAAAGCTACTTGTATCGAGCTTGGCGACTTTGCACTGGAACAGCCGGGCGGTACCCACCCGGTTTGAGGTCGCCGAGCCGGTGTGCTAGCTCGACAGGACGCAGGAGCGCGTGTAGGCAGGCGCCGCTGTCCCCGAAGCACCAAGGAAAAATAAAATGCCCACGTGCCGCGGTACCGGTGCTCGTCGGCAGAGCAAAAAAATTCGGGTGTTTCCATCATGAAACGTGCACCTCGTAAACAGGCTTCGCCATAGCCCATAATGCTAGTAGTACGATATCTAATCCTATGTGCGTGTAAATAGCTAGCTTGGAGGGCCATGGAACGGATGTTCTCAAAAATCTTACAGTTGCAGTCTTTCTAATAAAAGTTTCAAATTCGCTTCGCTAAAAAACCAGACTGTTCGCTGATTTGTCGTTGAAAGCTTGTCAGCGCTCTTTGGGGATCGATTGCATTGTGTGATCCCACGAGTCCGAAATTAATCTGTTGTGCTATATCAAATTATGTGAAGTGCTCCAATAAGTAATGTGGCTCCAAACCGCTTGCGCAAACGGGCAAGCTGAGGCATAGGTGGTAGCAAGTTTCTAGCGCCCCATAGCACAATGCACAAACGTAGTCTTGTGGTTAACCCCGGACCTCGAGGTTGTCTGCCATGAATATTTTGTTTTGGATGAGGATTCACGCAAATAGTTTGCATTTGTTTTTTGTTTGCGCCTTCCAAATAGTGTTATAAAATGCGAATCCAATAATTGTGCTCTATAGGCTGATTTGAAGGTGTATTGTCTGTTTGCAATGTTAGTTCTCTTTTTCATGCTCACTGATGTGTGTTCTTTGCACATTTCTATCATGCTGATCTAGCTACTCGTATGCCTAAATAGAGCAATCAAAATTAATTGTAAGAGGGGAAAAAATATGGTATAGAGACTTACATCGGTTAGTAGTTAATAGCAATGTGATGAAACCATTTGCTCCTTTCTGTAATGTTATTATAGCAAATGCACCATTTGATAGTTCACTAAAAAATGCACCATTTGATACTGGTCGGTGGCGCGCAAGGCTGAAAGCCAACGCACCAGGCGGTCCAGTTCCTGCGCTCTTGCCTGCTCGTTTGGGTTCTGAACCTCCGTGTTTCCCTCCCACGAAAATCAAACGGTCGCCAACGTTTCTGGTCCCGCTGTCGTCGAAGCCAGCTACGTTCAGCTGTCGTGGAAGTCGCCGTCTGTTGGGCTGGTATTAAAACCGGCTGATAAGTCAGCTGAAGCTGATTTATTGTGAGAGAAAAATACTATAGATTCTAGCTGATAAGTCGGCTGATAAATTCAAACGAACAGGTTTGAGAGAGAGAATGTCGTGGAAGGCAGCTACTCAGGCCTTGTTTAGTTGGGGAATTTTTTTAAAAAATGGTACTTTAGCACTTTCGTTGTTATTTGACAATTAGTGTCAAATCATAGTCTAATTAGGCTTAAAAGATTCGTCTCGTGAATTTCGTCTAAACTGTGTAATTAGTTTTATTTTTTATTTATATTTAATGCTTCATGTATGCGTCCAAAGATTAGATGTGATGGGAAATCTTGAAAAAATTTGCAAAATTTTAGGAACTAAACAGGCACTCAGCTGGACACATCCCAGTAGCAGCATGTGTGAAAATTTTATGTTACCGGTTTATTTGGGCTCACTTTGCATGGGTTCGCAAATCACGGCTGTCTGACATAGACTTTGTTTAAATTCAGGGCCTAAAGTTATAGGATATCATATCGGGTGTCATATTGAGGTGTTGTATGGGGTGTTTGGATACTAATAAAATAATAAATTACAGAATCCGTCATTAGCACATGTGTTACTATAGCACCACATTGTCAAATCATGGATTAATTAGGCTTAAAAGATTCGTCTCGTAAATTAGTCATAAACTGTACAATTAGTTATTTTTTAGTCTATATTTAATACTCCATGCATGCATGTGTCTTAACATTCGATGGGATATGGAGGCCTTGTTTAGATTGGGGTTAGGAATCAGTATTTGGCACTGTAGCACTTTCGTTTGTATTTGACAATTATTGTCCAATCATGGCCTAACTAGGCTCAAAAGATTCGTCTTGTAATTTACAATCAAACTGTGTAATTAGTTGTTTTTTTATTTACATTTAATACTCCATGCATGTGTCCAAAGATTTGATGTGATGGAGAGAGAGTGAAAAAACTTACAATTTAAACAAGGCCGGAGTAAACTTTAGGAGGAGGAACTATACAAGCCCTAGATGTCTTTCCTGCATAAGTGGGCTGTTATATTTGTCCATGTAGGCCCTTTGGGAATAGCGGGATAAACGGGCTAACCCAGGCTGTTGTTGCGTTCATTGCATTTCTCGGTTTGGAAAAAAATTCTTTAGATCCCTCAATATAGGAGTCGTTAGATTTCTCCCTCTCATCAATAATTGTCGTCGTGGAGGTGATGGGATCTATTGCATGCAGAGAAGGGATGTCTCTCGTTTTAGGCCTACGAGCCGACAGTTTCAGGTTAGCCAGTGACTGTCTGATTGTCGTGAAGACACCCAACAAGACGATCTCGGATCTATGGATATGTTATCTGGGAGATTAATGCGAGGAAGACATCTTTTAGAAGTGTCGAGTTTATACATGAACATAGGGACTCAAATACCGATGCTCATAGGATAGCTCGTAGCTCGATTCATGTCGAGTTAGGGCAGCATGTTTGGTTCTTGAATCCACCCGATGGTGTTTGTAATATGTACAATCCTCCTAGCTGAATAAAGAGGGTGGTGTTGCTAAAAAAATCAATAAGATTATTTTTTTATTCCTCCTTACTTTTTTGAAATTGTTTATTTTTGCACCCTCAGCGATGTGCACGGTGGTTTTTCCCTAAGTGGCATCATATAAATCGTCTAAGTGGCGCCACACACCAACCGTGGGAAGGGGTCTATGGTAAACCAAACTATATTTCAAATTATCCAGATATTTGTTTTCTAGAAAGAACATGCAAATAAAAATCCTAAAATCTTATTTAATCTTTAAATTTTTTTATTTTAGCTTGGAAAGATATGAAACTAGAGTTCCATGTATATAACGTATGCCTCGTCCGCCAAGTTAGCGAGGTATCTGAGATTAGATTTGTCCTTGGCACACGCTGTGTCTTAAGTCATTTGAACTTTTACCTGGTCCGAGTTGTCTTCGTAGACTAATTATAACGGATAAAGGGAGCATCTTCTAGCAAGCTAACGCTTAAAAAAGTCCATAAGATAGTAAAATAATTTCAAGGTGGACACCCTAAGATAGAGCATTATTTTTTTAAAAAAAACAAGGAATCGGCTTTTCCAAACTGAAATAAAATTGGTATGCATAATTTTCAGAGGAAAAGATATCTAAATATTCTTTTTTTAAACGTAAGTCTGATTAACCCTAAATTATAAAGTGGCGCTATATAGAACGGCTGAACAACTGATGTGGTGTTATTATATTGGACAAAATCGTCGTTAAAATCGCTTTGGCCTTGTTTGAATGTAGTCGAATTCGCATCAATCCACATGTGTTGGAATGGAATCGAACTAAATTCTACCTCAATCTACCCCAATAAATGTGGATTGAGGTAATTTGACAACATCTAAACAAGACCTTATATGGTACAAAAGATAAATTGGTTTAAAAGTGAGTGAGGGAGAAAAGAAATGGATTTTATAGACGCGTCGGCGAAGAATCGGACGAGCTAGAAAGATTTTTCCTTCTTTTGGACCGGCTGAAGGATAAAAGTATAAAGACTAAAGAGGAACGGCCCAGCCCAACACATGAGGCTCGCGAAACGGGTCAACAGCCAGCCCAGAACTCTCACTCCCATCCAAACCCAACCCGATTCCCCAATCACCGACCAAGCCATCTTCCGATCCCGCCCCAATCGACCAACGCCGTCCCTTCTCGTCGACTCTCGACCTCTCCCTACCGGCTAACCCTAGCAGCGGCACGCGGGCGACGGCGACCGGTGGAGGGCTAGGCGCGCCACCGGCGAAGGGATTCAGCGGTACCCCCTCCTCGGACTCAGGCGCGGCGGCGCCCTGCAGGTACCTCCACTCCACCTCTTAGCCCCCATCCATCTCTGCCCCGGGCCCTCCTCGCGCGAGGCAGCATGCTCGCAGCCGCTCTATCTCCGTCCTCTCCCGCTCGCGCAGTATCAGATGTCTCTCTACCTCTTCTCTGACGCCGTTGGCATGCCCTCCCCCCCTGTGCTCTCTTTTTGAGTCTCACTCTGTTTTACAATTTAGACCCAATCCCTGATGAATTCCATTAAGGCCCCGTTCGGTTTGCACTGTTCCCGGCCGTTCCGGGCCGGAACGTTTCCCATGCTTCGTAAATTATAGAAGGAAGACAGAGACCGGAATTGATCCCCACCCAACCGAACGAGGCCTAAGTGTGCTGTCTCGACTTGTCCTTTTTGTGCAAATTTTACGTCTTTGGTGGTCAAATCTGCAATTTTCTTGCTTAACGTATTGACGCACACTTCACTTGCATATTCTTGTGAAAAAAGAGCAATTTTGAACTGATCTACTAATTATATACTGGGTACTAGACTGCTGATGAGGTGATTTGTGAATCGTTAATGATACAACTCACAGACATAAAATCGGCTGCGTTTGTTTTTGGCATTCTTCTGTATGAAATGATATGTTTCAAAATATATACTACATAACTTAGAAATCCAGTGACTAGGCTGATTGTGAGGCTTATTTCGTGTGATCACTACAAGGTGGGTTGACTGAACACAGATGTTACTCGCCTGTTATTACTTAGGTATTAGTACTTCCACAACAAAATCTGATCCCAAAATGGTCTGTTTCTGATTTGCTTTGTTATTGGATAATATATCGTTTTAACTCAGCCGAACCCAAAATCAATCCTGGATCAGTCAAATCTGGCTGTTTTGAACAATCGGCTTGGCAGTACTCAAAGAACTTAGGCACAAGAAATTCTGAATTGCAAATTTACTACAGCATAAAGGAGAAAAAACATAGGTCAGCATCTACTAGCAAATAATATTATTTTTTGTTCTTAGCATTAGCAGTGGATGGCAAATTAACTGCCCAGTAAAACACATATTTTTGGGCCCTGTTTGTTTCTGCTTATAATCGATTCTCTTATAATCACCATACCGCGGGGATTTTTTCGATTCTCGATCAGGCTAGTTCAAAGTTCTGATGTGGAGGTCAGAAGAATAAAAAATAATCGAAGCTTTTGGTGGGATTCTAGGTTTTTTTTTTCAGTGGGAAGCTGAATATAAGTGGGAAAAACAGGGCCTTGGTGTGAAGGGGGATTCTATAGATTACACATGCTACTCTGTAAGGTTGGTCTTCTTTTCATTCACTGTCAACCTGAGAAATTCAGAAAACACACCAGTGTAATTTATGTGAATTCTATCTTTGTTGATTGCATTTACCATCACTTAGAGAGCTATCATGCTTTATCCAGTGAATTAACGAAGAACTACCCCCCCCCCCACCCCACCCCACCCCACCCCACACCCACACACACACAACAAGAAGGCAAACAGGGTCCATTGTTCTGCTCTGGTTAGCTTTATAGGTTTTACATCGTGTTTCTTTATTTGATTTTTTTGCTTGCTGTGTCGTGGAAACAACCTGTACTTGTTCTCTTTCAATTCCTGTTCTTCAACTGACAGTACTTTACCCTATGTCCCTCCAGATTATTATTGGTTTTGTTGCAAAATGGCTACGGAAGCGACTTTGAACAATTCTGGTGGTTCTGAATCTGCAATGCCATTAGTGGAACAGCTTGCTGAAGTATTTGGAAAGTTGAAATCCCACACCGAAGCATCTCTGCAATTGCAAAATGGCATTCAATGGGAAGATATCAAAGGGCATTTCCTCAGCCTTGATAAGTCTAAGTCGTACAGAAGCAAGTTTGATGAACTGGTAGAGAAGCAGAAGGCATTAGAAGAAAAGAAAGCTGAAGCTCGTAGGTTGATTGCAGAGAAAGCGGCTAATGTTTCTACAAAAGAGCGTGCCTCCCTGAATCAGCTTCAGGAGCTAAGGGATGCTGCTGTCTCTTCTCTAGCAGAGGTTCGGCAAAAATATAAGGTGGAGCTTGCTGAGATACTTGATGCAAGTGGAAGCAAAGACAAAAAGGTAAGTACCTCAATCAATGACAACAATGCATCTCGTGCTTCAGAGGAGAATACCCCTGCTAGTGGGTTGGGCGAGGCATCTGAAGCTTCACCTGTTGAGACTAAGCCATTCCTGTATTGAAGCAACTATGTGAGCAGATGGACACCAAAGGCCTTCTGAAATTTCTTTCAGAAAATTCTAGAAAACTTGCTAGCCTTCGTGATGAACTTTCTGTTGCACTAAAATGTGCAACTGATCCTGCCCGCTTTGTACTTAATTCCCTGGAGGGTTTCTTCCCACCAGACCAAACTAATTCACCTGGGAGTAAACATAACGCTCTTGAGGTTCAGCGCAAGAGCTGCATTGTTTTAATGGAAGCTATAGCACCTGCAGTAGGGACGACGGAGCCTGGTGGCAACGACCCTTGGAGCTCTGAAATTAAGGAGCAAGCCAAGGCAATTGCCGAAGAGTGGAAGAGTAAGTTAGCTGAGGTTGACCTGGATGCTTCTAATGGCTATTCATTGGAGGCACAGGCTTTCCTGCAGCTTCTTACAACTTTTAATGTTGATTCGGTGCTTGACGAAGATGAACTATGCAAGATCGTAGTTGCTGTCTCTCGTCGCAAGCAGACTGCTGTGTGCTGTCGCTCTCTTGGTCTTAATGAGAAAATGCCAGGTTGGTATCCACCCAGAATGCCACAAGGCGTTCTAATCCCTTCATTTGTCAGGCTGCTGCTGTTCATTGTCACTAAGCCCCCAAACCATCTAGGGAACTAAAACTTCCTTACTGTTTTGTTCAAGTGCAAAGCATTGAGTGCCTGCATGAAATTAGTGTTTTAAGTTTTTCTGTTGACATTCTCTTTATGTTTCTAGGTATCATTGAGGAGTTGGTTAAGCGGCACAGGCAAATTGATGCAGTTCATTTTGTACAAGCTTTCGGGCTTTCGGAGACATTCCCCCCTGCACCTCTGCTGAAGACATATGTTGAGGAACTAAAGGATACAATTGAAAATAATGGGGATGCAACTGCGACCTCGTTAAAGGTTTGTTGATTTTATCCTTTTTTGTGATCTTGATGAGTCTGTCTAGTGGCTTGCATAGTTCAACGGTTGATATTGCTTCATTGACAGAACTGTTTCATTGTCTAGTATAGTATTGTAAAATAAAAGCTTCATTTTTTATGAAGCTATTTTTTATTTCAGTTTTTGGTCTTCTTAAAGAGGTCTGAAAAGTCCGTGGTAGATCTAATTTAACTTTTTAACCCTTTTTGGTGGATGGTTTGGTTTTTTCAATATATAACTTGGAGGACTAGTTTTTTACTAAATAAAGAATGGAAAAAAGATCCAATCTAGGGAGTATGGGTATTAATTGGATATGAGTTCCTCAGCCTGTCAACTGGTTCAAGAGAGCAAAATCTGGATAATACCAGTTCCTATTACTTCAAACTAGGAAGGAACTATTGAGAAGTTTGATAAGACTGACCATTAAGAGCCCATCTTTAATTTCTTGAAATCTATTTTACCTTTACCTCCAGAATTTTCTAGGGAAACAGTATATTGCTCTCAGTCTATAATGCTTGGTGTGCTGTCTGTGAATGTTACTGTATATGTTCTGTTAGGCGCTTCGGCTGTATCTCACAATTGCCTTATGCATTGTGTGATAATGGCCACAATGTTATTAGTGCTGATGTGAAATAACTCCTTTCTTATATTAAATCATGTGCTATGATAGTTTCACATTCGATTTGCAATCCTTTTTGTTTCACTTCTATTGTTTGTTATTATATTATAACTTACATGTTTGTCTTATGACTCGATGGATCCAATTTTCAGGACGACCCAAAATCTAGGGAACTACTTGCTTTGAGGGCTGTGATAAAGTGTATCGAAGTGTATAAGCTTCAGAAGGAGTGTTCACTTGGACCTCTCCAAAAGCGTGTATCTGAGCTAAAGCCCAAGGGTGAGAAAAGGCCATCAACTGATGCTGGGCGTACTTATGCAAAGAAGCCTCGAGGCCCTGGCATTTCATTTCCTAGGAGACCTGCTGGTTCTGTTGGTTCAGCTGCTCGCAGGCCTCCATTTCCAGGCTTTAACTGGCAGCGTGCTCCTGCTCCAATGCCCTCCCGTGGCCCTGCTCCAATGCCCTCCCGTGCCCCTCTTCCTGATAGATATGGAGCTGCTGACCGGTACCACCACCCACCACCAGCCCCAGTATATGAAGGTGGTGCGTTTTCTTCTTACGGTGAACCGTTCAGCGCCCCAAAACCATTCCAGTACACCCCAGGGTCCGTGGCAGCATCATACAATTCAAGCCCTTATAAAGTTGCGTATGGTGGCCCAGGAGCACCAGCTGCAAGCACCTATGCAGGTTACGCCAGCGCATCCGGGCCGGCTGCTTCCAGCAGCTATGCAAACTATCTGGGATCTGGCTATCGCCCTCCGCAACCATAGATTCGACTCATCTCCCTCAAAAGTATTGTGCTGGTGATGCACGCCATGGAAACCAGTCCCTCCCAACTCCCATGAGATGGAGATGTAACTCTCGTCATTTTCTTGTTTCCTCGTCCACAGCAGTGGGTTTTGGAGGTGTAACTGATGTAGTGTGAGGCGCCGGTCAAATTATAATTGCCCTCATGTCCTGCTACATGTACCTTGCACTCTTATTTGCTTTTAGCTGTGCTTATTCCTGACTTGTTGAATGTTTTACATCCTCTGCCACCCAGTCTGTCTCATGTAGGAATATTACCTTTTTTACTAGGGAAAGCCTAAAGGTGCCTTGAGTGCAAAACTTTGGCAAGCTTGCACATCTGACAATCTTTAACAAAAAATATTCTCTACTTGCTGTTGACATGGCTTGTACTTTCAGATCTGACACATAACTTGTGTGCATGAAAAGCATGATGCCATTGTCTCCCTAATTGTAAAGAGACCTCTGAAAGTGAGAACTTTCTGATCTGCATAAAAATTTGCTGAAACTGTGCTGGAGCATGGAGGACTGAACTGAAAAGCCACGCAAGTTTGGCCTTCCAAGCTGAGCGGACCCGTAGGTGACCGGTGGTTTCTACGGATACGTTTAAGCGAACAGTCCGGCTCTGTTCGCTTTCTTTTAAACGATCGTAAATTTTCAGCCAGGAACAGTGTTTTTCTCTCATACCAAACCAGACAACAATAAATAATCCACGATACGATACAGCCTCCCGAACAGAATATAATCCACGATACGCCTCCCGAACAGAATGTGGTTGTCAAAGTCAGTTTGTGACTTGTGAGATCGTGCTCGTCTCGTCAACGCCCACTCTACCACTCCTGTGCTGCGACTGGAAAAAAGACAGGAGACCCAGCTTACCCGCCCTATCCAGTGACAGTCCCACGCGGCCACGCCTGAGCCCCCGACTCGTAGGGCCCAGGAGTGTAGACCCCACTAATCAGGTAACACGAAGGATCTGCGGGGCGTTCTGCAGCTGCAACGGTAAGCAAAACACTCCAATATCCGACGTGCCCGACGGGGCCCGCGATGGTGCTGTGAATTACCGAATTACCCCTCCACCCGCCTCTGCCTCTTCTAACAAGTCGTCGCCTCGGCCCGGCTTCGCTTCGCCCCTCTCGGCGCGACGACCTCTTCCTCCACACCCTCTCCTCCCTCATTCCCCGCGCGAGGAGGCCACTTCATGGCGAGTCGCGGCCGGCCTCGGCCGGGCTCGCTCCAGGCCCTCGCCGCCGCCTCCATCGCTATCCTCTTCCTGGCCGCCGCGTCCAGGGCCGCCGCTGGATCCCCCGATCGGCCCGCGCCGGGGCCGCCGCTGTTCCTCCCGCTCACGCGCTCGTACCCCAACGCCAGCCGGCTCGCCGCCTCGTCGCGGCGCGACCTTGGCGACGGGGCGCACCCCAACGCGCGCATGCGCCTCCACGACGATCTCCTCACCAACGGGTCGGTACAGTTCGTTTCTTTACGCTGTTGTTTTCCCCCAATTTCTTTTTTGTTTGCTTGCTCTGTTGGATCTGAGCCGGGAGGCTGGTGCGTGCCGTCGTGGTGGTTCAGGTACTACACGACGAGACTGTACATCGGGACGCCCCCGCAGGAGTTCGCGCTGATCGTTGACTCCGGGAGCACTGTCACCTACGTGCCCTGCGCCTCCTGCGAGCAGTGCGGCAACCACCAGGTGGGGCTGTATTATTTTGCTTCTCTGCTCAGCTATCAGCTAGGAACTTGTGAGATGATATTATTGATTAGGATGATAGCACGCATGGATATGTGAACCCAAGTTGCGAAGCTGGACTAGTGAACTTAGCTAATTCATGGTATGCGAATTATATGGGTTTCTGAGACTACTTGATGCACATCAGCATATATGAACTCTAGTTTTCAGAAGATTAACATTTCATTTGCAGGTAGATTAGGGAGTTGCAATTTAGTCATGGGTTGTTGATAAACTGTCCTAGTATCGACTGAGGATGTGGGGACTGGCTTCAACCTGCTGCCCACAATTTATTTGCTTTTCTAAATGGTCGATTCCTGAAATGCATAGTCTATTGTCCACACTTCCCAACATGTAGCCTGCCAATCTTGGCCACAACCTATAACATTGGATTGCCAACCAATGACCTTGTTTTTTGTCGTCATCAATTGTTAGACAGCTGCTTAACTTTCTCTCAATATTAAGTGGGTCCCACATATATTGCCAACAAATGACAGGTGTTTGGTTTGGTCATACCTGTGTAACCTTTTTCGTCCTTGAACACTCTTTTTCTACTCAAGGTATAGTATTGCTCCACCATATTGAAATTTGATACTCCCTCCGGTCACAAAAAATGTTGTTTAGGACATGATTTGGTCAAACCTTAAAAACTAAAAACACCAATAGCTATTAACTTATTTAGTTTGGAAACCTGCAAGTTAGATGTGTAGATTTGTATTCAAAATACAAGCAAAATCTCTTCAATCTAAAGGATTTTAAGAATTTATACTAGAAGAAATTAGTGGTCAAAGATATGCATTGAAGACTGTAAAAAGTCAAATACGTAAATTTTTTTTTATCAGAGGGAGTACATGCTATAATTAATTCATTATCCATTTCGAAAATACATCTCTGCACAATGGAAAATATACTACGGCTCTAGTACATGTTCAGACTTCTTTTGCACTGTCTTTGGAATTGTTATCCATGAGATAATTTTGTATTTTAAAGTACTTTGCTAACATCCCATTAGTGTGTGGTATCATATTATCATGTCAATTATCATATATTGTTGAAAGTGAAAAATAAAATAAAAACTAAAGACAAAACATAAATTGGTTAGGGCTTTACAATGGTATGTCATGGCATCACCACACATCATCATATTTGAAATGTAAATAAAATCAGGAGACAATGTATCTTAGCATTTGAACAAATTGAGTTGCCCATTGATATTGCTAGCATACAATATAGTTTTGATTGAACTGAAGGCCCTTCTTAGATGCTGGATTATTCTTTTGCAGCCTTCTCAAATGTTCTTGATGCAACTTTGCAAATGCACTGATGGCTTGGGATCCATCATCATTGTTTTACCACCATCTTTACTTAGTGGATCTTGTGTTCATTGAATGAATCACTCACATCAATACATCATTGCCGAGGCATGTAAAGTATTGTATCTGAAACGATCTTATGTTTTACATTGTAATGTCCAAAAGGTTAAAGATCATATGAGTATGTATTTCTCTACCTTGATGTATATAATATATAATAATTCGAAAGTCGAAACACATGAAAATCTGTGTGTTACCATATATGCCATACCTTGAGTATGAATCGTTTTTTTTTTTGTCTTGGAGATCACTGTTATTAACTAGTCTCTACTAGTGTTTAGATTTTTATGCCTAGAAATTAATTCATCTACAGTAAGATAATCTGAAGTTTGGTTGATGTAGGATCCACGATTTCAACCTGATCTCTCCAGTTCATATTCACCAGTAAAATGCAATGTCGATTGTACTTGTGACAGTGACAAAAAACAGTGCACTTATGAGAGGCAGTATGCTGAAATGAGCTCCAGCAGTGGGGTGCTTGGTGAGGACATTGTGTCTTTTGGCAGAGAGAGTGAACTTAAGCCACAGCGTGCTGTTTTTGGCTGTGAAAATTCTGAAACTGGAGATTTGTTCAGTCAGCATGCTGATGGCATAATGGGCCTTGGTCGTGGTCAACTTAGTATAATGGATCAGCTTGTTGAAAAGGGTGTCATAAGTGATTCATTCTCATTGTGCTATGGCGGTATGGATATTGGTGGTGGTGCTATGGTGCTTGGTGGAGTGCCTGCTCCTTCTGACATGGCTTTTTCACATTCAGACCCTCTCCGCAGGTAATGTATAGTTTCCTATATGATAATCGACCCTTATTCTTTTTGTGGTACATATTTTTATTAGCTAATCTTAAATTGGCAACAGTCCATATTACAACATTGAGTTAAAGGAAATACATGTTGCTGGAAAGGCACTGCGGGTAGATTCAAGGATCTTCGACAGCAAGCATGGGACTGTTTTGGATAGTGGAACCACATATGCTTATTTGCCAGAGCAAGCTTTCGTGGCTTTTAGAGATGCTGTAAGCTATTTACACATCCATACCTTTTCTGTTGGATCTTTGTTCTTTTGTAGTTATTTTTCCTTCATGTGAAATCAATTTGCTTGGAATTCTGTTTTTGCAGTGTACCATGTAAAAAAGGTAGGCTAGCTTCAGAAGCTATCAATAGTATTTGTGGCTAAAATTGCACTAGTGCCATCTTTTTAACTTTTCTGCCTTACATAAAAGAAGTTAACATCTTAATGACACCTAGATAAGTTTACACTTTCATAGATAGAATTAAACTTCTACTTTAGAAGGGCGGGCCTGGTGCAAGCGGTAGAGTCTTACCGCCTGTGACCGGAAGGTCCCGGGTTCGAGTCGCGGTCTCCTCGCATTGCACAGGTGAGGGTAAGGCTTGCCACTGACACCCTTCCCCAGACCCCGCACAGAGCGGGAGCTCTCTGCACTGGGTACGCCCTTTAATTAAACTTCTACTTTAGCACAATCTGCTTTTTCTCCTTGACGCCTTTTCATGTCCATTGGCTAATAACTGTATCCCTCCTTTTTCTCTTATTCTCTTGGCTGTTGCTTTACAAACGAACTTCTGGATTACAAGGACACTGTTGACTGGTGCACCAACAATTCCTTTTTGTTTTGTTTGGTTTTGCATGTCATATCCCCTATTAATATATCTAATATTGATGCCCTGTTCTATATATATCTACTTTCTTTTTCTCTTTTCCCTTTTCATTGTTGGCTCATGGTGGGTTTCAACTCTTGCCTACCCCAAGTCCTAATTTGCTAGGGACTAAAAGGCTTTGTTGTTGTTGGTTTTGCATGTCACCAGAGCTGAGTGTCTTTGTCTTGGTCCTACTTTAACTAATTTTGAAAAGACTAAGGTGCTGTTTG